TTTAATCAACCGCAAAGTCATAACTTGATCTTTTACATTTGATTTCTTTATTTTTAGGTTTATTTCAGCTTTAGTTTTATTATTTTTTTTTTATGAATGAATGAAAGTTATGGTTACTGCGCCAGCTAAAAAAGTCGTAAAATAAATAAATAAATATTTTAAAGCATTTAATAGTGTGGTAAAAAGCTTTCATTGTTTATCCAAGTTAGCTTTCACTATTAACTTCGATTTAGCGCACTTTATTAAAAGTTATGTAAGAGCTCATAATGAATAAAAGTGTTGTTGCTTACAAAGTATTGCAAAGGTAATGAGTTTACACTCACGCATGATGAATTTTTATGCATAGTTTTTGTAAAATGCCACAAGCAACAATTAAAATCCACAAACAAGGCACGTGCCGCTTCCCTTTTAACCAGCACTTACCCACTACTTTACCTAGTTGGCATGCGTAAAATATTAAATATTTGCGATTTTCTTTGGCCAAACTATTTGTAACTAAATAAAACTTGTGCGATTGAATAGCATGCCTAGTGGTTAAGCAGGGAAGTAAATATTACAAGAGAAAATTGTTAACTAAATTGCTATTGATATGAAAGAGCTTATTATATATTTGTATTATAATACTTGCGCATACGGTTGCGTTCATATTAATAGCGGCGCTAGGTTTGAGGCGGTGATGTTTTTTTTTACTAGAGATTAAGATCACTTGCTCTAGAGTGAAAATGGTCGATGTTTCGATTTTCGATTTTCGTCGAAAATTTTAGTATTTCAAAGCAATTTTTGTGTGAATATATGCATTTTTTTTTTAAACTTTTAGTCTAATTAAAAATAAATCATTTCTTTGCCCCTGCTTCCTCGTTCTTTTGTTAGATAAGCACACTGAAGCTCGTGAGAAAATCGTAACCGAAGTCTAGGACATTATGTAAACGTAACATATTATATTCTATCATTATATTTTATACCACAGTAGGTCTTTGGCTCCTCTTTTCTCCTGCTTTTATCGATAAATGCATTAAAACTCGTTGGAAAATCGTTGCCTACATTTAGGCGCATATCATAATATCATAGTCATAATACTATATATTATATACATACACATTTAGAATTTCGTTGATAATTTTAGTATCTTAAAGCAATTTGAGTGTCAATAACTCAAATATGACTTAAAAAATAATTATATATTATGCTTGTTGATATTCGTGAGCATTTTGTGTCCGAGGCATCTGATTTGCATTTGAAAGCATCGAAGATTTGTATACCTCGCATTATGTGGGGCGCACGCTTCGCTAAAACGTGCCTTTTTAAACAAAATAAAGACAGAGACATAGGCGCATTGAGGTTTTGAACAAAGAATAATGAATTGTAAAAGAAAAGGAAAAAAAGAAGAAAACTAATTTTGAAAGAAAAGAAAAAAAACTGTTATGATTTGGAAGAGAAGAAACAAAAACTATGATAATTTTTAAGAAGAAAAATGGAAAATAAAATGTGATGCATTTATGCAAACATTGCTTGTTTTATATAGAATTAACACAAATAATTAATTAAATTCTAATTAATGAACGCAGTAATTATACTCTAAGCAGGGGTCATGCGTACATGTCCTTGTATGGAAAACTTTTTATTTGACGAGATAAATTCCCAAAAATTGGTACAGATAGTTCTCTAAAATAACTCCATAATATCTGATGAAATTTTTCAGATCAGTCAACTTATCTATCAAAACTTATTCAACTTACCTATCAAAAGCACGTTCTTGTACGGACAACTTTTTTATTTGACAAGAAAGGTCAAAAAAATTTGGAACGAATTATACCTTAAACACTACATTCTCAGAAGAAATGGTGCAGATCAGACTACTATATCATGTAGCTATCATATAAACTCATCGATCAAAATCATATCCTTGTATGCGAAACTGTTTTATTTGACCATATATCTTAATGAAATTTGGTTAAAATAATTTTCCAATGCAACAGCACAATTTTTGGAAAAAAATTTTCAGATCGGACTACTATGGCATATAGCTGTCATACAAACTGAATGATCAAAATTAGGTTCTTGTTGGGAAAACATGTTTTTTTTTTACGTGATATCTTCATGAAATTATACATGACTTATTTTCTAAAACAACTATACAATCTGCGAAAAACTTATTCAGATCGGAATACTATAGCATATATGTAGCTGTCATACAAACTCAATCGTTTTAAATCAACCGAAATTGACATTTTCTTGTTTTTTCATATAGTTTTTGTTACTTTTTAAACTCTTTATTATATAATTCATAAGCTTTATGCAACTTAATAAATAAATAAATGTTATTAAAGCAATAAACTCCCAATTTATAACCAATTTCTTTAATTATCGAGACTCTTTGTACTCTCTATTATGACAATTATTATTTAATATGAGCTGTTGCAGCTAATGCAATCGATAGCAACAAGTGATCGTCATGCAGTTGTGCGACTAATTCACTAATAATTGCACTGCAACAAGAAAAATTGTAATTAATTGATTATGACAACGTCTATGAGAAAGTCTTGGGGCGAAAGTGTTGTCGCGATAGCACTCTCGTAAGCTAATAAAATGAATTAAACAATTAGCAATGAAAATAGGCACTTTTCTGCTGCTACAGCTTGATTGGCGCTAAGATAAAATAATTTATTAGTAATGAAAAATGAAAGTATAAAATAGCAAAAATGCAGCGATACAATTTTAGCACATTAAAAATATTCAAGAAAATTTTTAATTTATTTTAATAATTTATATGAATTTTTCCTGCATTAAAATTGTATTTTTTTCCAAATTTTCTTGCATTAAAATTGTAATATTTCCAAGTTTTTTATTTCTTGAATGCTATGAATTTCTATTTTTGGCGCTTTTCATGCTTAGAAATCGGTCGCGCGTTATTTAATAAACACACTCGTTTGAAATGCCATATTTTTTACCAAATTTATTTTATGCGTATGTATGTCTGTGGTATGTGTGCCTAATCAATTTGGATGCCCGCCCTACAATAAGAAACTCATCAGCGTTTCGTGTTTAGAGAAAAGAGAAATCTGCCGAATTTTCGTCTAATCCCAAAGCGTTTGAATACCAAATGCCTAGAAGGCGTTTGATTTGGGCAGCAAGAGCCGAGCTTTAGCCACACGCTTGAATAAAATTGCCATAATTGTGCTAAACAACGGCGAATTAGATAAGCGATGCTAAAAATGCTTGCAGAAGCATTTAAAAAAGGTAAGAACCAAAGAGACCCACCAAGATATGCTAAAACCCAAATCAAACGCGAAACGATAAATAAGTAGAAAATGAGAACAAATGATTGAAAGGGAGTGGCGCAGTTTTTATAATTATGCATTTGTTTATATGGAAAACTTTTTTATTTGGTGAGATATCTTTACGAAATTTGGCATACAGAATTTGCCAAGGCAAAGCTAAAACCTCTGAAGATTTTTTTTAAATCGATTAACTATAGCACATAGCTGTCATACAAACTGAACGATCAAAATTCAGTTTTTGTAAGAAAAACTTTTTTATTTCACAATATATCTGCACGAAGTTTGGCACAAATAATTATCAAAAGCAGTGACATAATCTCTATAGAAATTGCTCAAATCAAAGCACTTCGACATATAGCTGCCATACAAACCGAACGATCAAAATCATGTCTTTGTATGGAAAACATTTTTATTTGACGATTTATCTACACGAAATTTAGCACGAAGTATAACTAACGCAGCGGTACATTTTCCGCGGAAATTGTTTAGATCGAACTATTATAGACTATAGCTGCCATACAAATGAATCAATTAAATACATGTCCTTGTATGGAAACCATTTTTATTTGACAAAATATCTATACGAAATTTAACACAAAGTATTATTCAAAGCAGCGATTTAATATCCGCGGAAATTGTTCAAATCGGACTACTATAGCATATAGTTGCCATACAAACTTAACGCTGAAAATCATGTCCTTATGGGAAAAACTTTTTTATTTGATGAGATATTTGCACGAAATTTCGTATAAGATATTATCCAAGGAAGCGGTATAATATTMATGAAAATTCGAACTACTATAGCATATAGCTGCCATACAAACTGGCCTAACAAAATCACGTTAAAGAATTTTTATACTTTATATATAATTTTTTTATTTTATGTTATAAGATATGTACATGTAAAGGATATTATAGCTTCAGTAGATAACAATTTTTTTGTTTTTGTTTTTTTAATATAATGTTTTACATTTACTTTTCTGCATATGTACTATGTATACATGCTTGTGTTAGTGTTATTTGTCAGAGCATTATTTAAAATAAATATTTTTGTTGTTGTTTTTTTACTCACCAAACTATCGGCAACATTTTGACTCATTATTTCTGTGCCAGTTGTGGCGAAGTACACGCAGTATATTTATTTTGTTTGCTGTTGTTGTGTTTGTGCGCAAACGCAGCAGCTGAGATTTTCGTTTCCGGAAGAACTTGCAACAAACCGAGTAGCTGCTGCCGTCGTCGCGGCCACATTTTGAAAAGTTGCCGCTACCGTTGACCAGAAGCAACACGAATGCAATTAAAAGCTGTGTGTTTGCAATTATGTGTGTATGTGTTGATGTATTTGTATATTTAGTGTGTGTAGCGTGCGCTGAGTTGCGGCTTTTATTGTTGTTGCTGCTGCTGTCGACTACTATGTAATGGACTTTCTACGCGCTCGTGGCTACAGCAACAGATTTGGAACACTGCTCACTTTGCTGTTGTTTTTGTTGTATAAACTAACATAATCACGTGCGAAATGCGCGTTCATTGGCGTTTATCGCAAACATTTGCACTTATTTCCTTTTTGGATATTTTTTCTTTTTATTTTTAAAATTTTTTTTTATATATTTTTTGTATTTTTTTTTTTTTTGTGTTTTTGTTATTTTCATTCACACACTTTTCACGAAATTTCGCATTCGTTTAGCTGATTTTATTTTCTTCAACATTTTTACACAACAATCACTATTAGCCACTGCGCTTGCCTATTGCTGTGCACGTTGTTGAAATGTTAATATGGCTGGCTGCCGCATTGCCTGTAGTTAACTTTTGCTGCCTGACGAAAATATAATCGTAAATTAGTATGGAATGTTCGCACAATCAGCTAATCGGCAAACGTTTTGATTACAACGTTGATGGTCAATTTGTATGTGCGCATCCGCCGCTTACTGCCGCTGTAAACACAACACGATTCAAGCGGTTTTTTTCCGTTAGTTATTTCACGAGCTCACACTTACACATTTACGCATTTATGGGACACACAATTACTCTTAAACACTACTTGCATACTTTTCTATGATTTTTAATCAAGATCCACATCTAAAAGTGCGATTTTTGTCACGTAATAAATGCCTTTAAAAAATGTTCCAATATTCCAAATTTTGAAAAATTATTTTACTCATATTAAATTAAACACGATTGCAAATATTTACAACCGTCAAGTTGCGCAGACTCGCTGCTACTCGTATTTACCAGCGCAATGTGGCCAACAGCCGAAATGGTCAAAGCTGAAATTCAACAGCGAACGCTTTCCGCATTCTTCGCTTCGCATTGATCGCTTGACGTATTGCGGCAGTCGGCAAACATTGCTATATCAATACACATACATACATATATACACAAACATATATACATCTATTCGTTATACATTTATATTGGTCTCTCGCTAACCGAACATCGCGCCGTCGTTCGCTGCATAAACGACTTGGCTGCTTTTTTCTTCTTGGCAATCTCTTTTTGTTGCTTATTGGCTAACATTTTTCTCATTTTCTTGTCCAAACACTCAAGTAATGACTAAAATTAAAAATTATAGAAAAAGTGCTTAACGACTAACGGTAGTTGCAAAACCAATATTCATGTTTGTTATGATTTTACCATAATTGTTACGCTCGAAACTCGAACGCGTGCATTAGGGTGGTGCGTATTTTACGGAAATCTGAAATTTACACAGCAACTTGTGTTATGTGATTTTATAGGAACAATTATATTTATGTTACATAAAATTAATGGAAACAACAAAAAGGAACGTTAACTACGGTTGCTAATATACTGGTAAATAAAGATTTTTCCTTAGAAACTCTTGATTTTTATGGGGCAGTTTGTATGGTAGTATATGATATAGTGGTCCGATCTGAACAATTTGTTCTGAGAATATACTCTTGCCTTAGATAATAGTAAGTTTCGTGAAGGTATATCATCAAATAATAATGTTTTCTATACAAAAAGTTGATTTGATCATTCAGTTTTTATGGCAGCTATATGCTATAGTGGTCCGATCTGGAAAATTTCTTCGGATGTTATAAAATCACTTCAAGAACTTTTCTGTGCGAATTTTTGTGAAGATAACTCGTCAAATAAAGAAGTTTTCCATATAAGAACTTCATGTTGAACCTTGAGGTTGTATGGCAGCTATATACTATAGTGGTCCGATCACAACAATTTTTTTCAGTGATTATAGTGTTGCCTCAGAAAATAATTTTTCCAAATTTTGTAAAGATATCTCATCAAATAAATAAGGTTCTCATAAAAAGCCTCGATTTTGATCTTTCAGTTTGTATGACAGCTATATGCTAAATTGGTTCGATATCGACGTTTCCGGCAAATAAGCAGCTTCTTTAGAAGAGAGGGATATATGAAAACTTACGGATCAATATCACTAAAACTGAAGGATTACTTAGTGTATATGCAGACGAACTACTCAGCTAATTGTTTATATATGTATGTATGTATTATTTTATAGCGTTAAGCGTTCTATAGTTAAGTTTTGATCTGTTCGTTCAAGGATTGTATACTCATATAACCAAAAGCATTCCGACTTTAGTGTTGTTGTAAAATAATTCGCAATCAGTTGTATTTCTAAAGATATTGTGATCCGTCGTAATTATGTTTTAAATAATATTTAACGAATTAAACGAAAATCTGTCATTTAGTTGTAAATCTCATTTCGAACCACCCTAATAAATGCGTTATGTGCCTGTATGTTAGATTGTGATCCACCTTAATGCACATTTTCCGTAACAAATATACATTTAAACGCGTGCTTATTAAACTGTTGGAACTTTTTCTTTACGAACCACCCTAACTAATTACGCTATGTGCATATACCAACAGCATGCACATTATATGTTAACAAAATGGTAAAAGCATGAAAATTAGATTTAGGGCCACAAATCGAAAACTTTCAATAATTTGTTTATTTATAAAAATTCCTTGTAATTACAATAAATTAAGAGAAAGTTTGATTTCTCGGTAACTTTGGAGTTTACAAGCTTGTAGCTGAGCTTTAAAATATTGTCAGATATTTTTTTTGTCTACTTGCGTGTTCAAACATATTTTTAATTATAGCATTATACATATGTACATACATATACATATATGCTACAGAACACAGTTACATATCGTCACCTGAAATGCAAAACTAATCGTTAAAAAAACGGAATTGAGTTTTTTATTCCTTAACATTAAATTCTAACCTCTCATTGTCATACATAAATAATATGTAACCAATATATAACCGTTTTATAAACAAAACTCAAATTTTTTTCACTTTGAGTTGTTTCTATTATATCGTTTTTTCTACGCCTGTAAACTTTAGTTGACAATATATTTTTTACGCCTTAAAACACAATTTATTTTCGGAGCACAGTTTATACTACTACAACTTTTCCAATTGGCAACACACGCACACAACTTAAAACAATGAAATCCGTAAGCTCGACACGGCCATAACAAATCGCAAATGGCACAACAATCAATGGAATTCGTCAACAGTTAATCGGCGCACAGTGGCATCGGCTGCCAGCGTTGGTGACAATGCCGATGGCCACTTAAAGCTGTGCGTCTTTGCAGCAGTTATTGAGAAACGTTGAACTGCTGGCTGATGAATTGCGGACGAGCAGCTGCGCCGACCAAAGACGCGCGTAGGAAAAGTCGTTCGTAACCATTTTCGGTACATTTCAGTATATTTCTGTTGAAAATAGATAAAAAAAATAGCCACAAGCTGTCATAGGTTGGCGCAAATCTTGAAACAAAATCAAATATTTGTAAGGAAACAGCAGGTGGAGCCGCAGAAGAGCTGAAAGACAGGGCAGCGCAAACACTACACACGCATTCGTCACACTGATATGTCTATAAATATTTATAAAAGTCCATGTGTGCGTGCGTGCTTCGCGTCAACTACCTGTTGAGTTTGTTTATTTTGCTTTGTCCGCGGACAACGCTCGAAGAAGTAAATAAAAATGGCTATGAAATGATTTGGCGAGCGCGCAGTGACTTATGCGGCTTGTGTGAGAAAGCGCGGCTCTGTGTCTACAAAGAGTGCAGGCGAAAGGCATGTCAAACATACAGAAAATGTCTGTGAAAATTAAATATGAAAGTGAAGTAAATTAAAGAGCCGGACAAGCCGATTGAACTAAAAAGTGCGCCAGCAAACTATTTGGCATGCACTGAGCAAATTGGAATCCTATAGTAACTATATACACATCAGCATATACGTAAATATCAACTGACAGTGTGTACACGTAGGTATGTTACATGCATAGCCATTGTGTGGATTGCTTAGAGCGCCGTAAAAATAACGTTATGCCATTAACTTTACGATATTACGTTTCACCAGCGCCAACTTGAGTGCAGCGGAGAGTTCCGGCAGCACGGTTCATTGACGAGCCACCTGCAAACACACAGCCTTACAAACGTTAGCTCTTTTATTTAAAGCGGAGTGTGCTTAGCAGCGGTTAGGTGAGCGGCAGCGTGCGAGACAGTATCCAATGATGTTGTGCTCCATTGGCAGCGGCGTGTTTGCGCTAAAATCTTTTTGTGTTAGAGGAACTATTACGCCGACAACTGGAAACAACACTGAACAGCTGAGAAATCAAACCGCTTTTTCGTTCTTTTTCAGGCGGCGGCTGAATACCCTTCACATGAGTTTTTTTATTGCTAAAAAGGGTATACAATGAAGTTTCTCTTATTTGATCGTTCGATTTGTATGGCAGTTATATGTTATAGTAGTCCGAACTGAGCAATTTCTTTGGAGACTATACCGTTGCCTTACATAATAATTCATACCAAATCTCGTGAAGATATCTTGTCAAACAAAAAAGGTCCATACAAAACCTGGTTTTTGAACGAACTGCTTGTATGACCGGTATATGCTACAGTGATCCGATAACGGCGATTCCGACAAATAGGTAGCTTCTTGGCGAGGAAAGGACGTATGCGAAACATCTAGCTGAGGCACTAGACTAGTTCGCGTTTTTTGCAGACAGACGGAGTCGAGCTCATCAAGGTGACCATTTATGATGTACATTGTAACAAAAGAGTACCCGAAATTTTTTAATTTAAATTCCGCGCGCTAATGATATTTCCAAAAAAAATGTATTTTGCTAAGTTCGTAGCACTATCCTTAATTACTATGCCAAATATGAGCGCAATCAACCAGTTTGTTTACAGCCGTTGCGATTTTTACAGCGGATAAAAATATTGAAAAAAGAATCTGTCTCAAATTTTGCATTCGTGTGCGAAATCATTGCGAATGTTCTGAACGACCTTCGGCCTCTTCGGCTGATGAAAATATTAAAAAAGTGATGAAAATGATGCTTCAAAATCGTCATTCAAGTGTTTGAGAGATGACAAGAGAGCTCAACAGCTCTCGCGAGTCCGTTCGAGTGAGTTTGGTGAATAATTTGGGTATGAAAAGCTTAATATCCTTCAAAAAGAGTTCCGTAAACAGGTCTCTTTGGACATACTTGATCATGTGAATTCCGATCCAACATTCCTGACAAGCATTATAACGGCCGACGAGACATGGCTATATGAGTTTGATATTCAAATAAATCAACAATCAACGGAATGGTGGGTGAAAACGAGCCGAAACAAAAAACCACATCAAAGCCGCTCAAAAATCAAGGCAATGCTCACTGATTTTTTTTCGATATTCGTGGTTTGGTGCATCGTGTATCCGTTCCGGAAGGATAGACGGTCAAAACAGAGTTCTATTTGAACGTAATGAGGCATTTGATTGAGAACAACCGTCCAAAACGGCTGGATTGTGGAATGAGAATTCATGAATTTTTCACGATGATAATGAACCATCGCAACGAACCACAATTATGATCGAATTTAAAGCCAAAAACCCAATGAATACCATAGATCATTGACCGTTTTCACCAGATTTAGCTCTTTGTGATGCTTTCTTGTTCCACAAACTGAAATTGCTGCTTCGTGAAACCCGTCGATCGAAGAGTTAAAACAAAATTCGCTGAAGGTGTTTCGAGAACTCGAAACTGAGTGATCAAGAACAAGTTATTGTACGGAAAACTTTTTTCTTTGACAAAATATCTTCGCGAAATTTGACGTGTATTAATAGCTAAGGCAACCCGATAATGTTTGAAGAAGTTTTCTGGATCCTACTAGTATAACATACTTATATAGCTGCCATACAAATTGTTCGATCAAAAACCAGAACAACATATTTTCACAAAATTTGGCATGGATTAATATCTAATTCAATGCCATAATATTTGAAGAAATTTTCTAGATCGGATCACTATAGCATATAGCTGTCATACAAACTGAACGATTAAGATCAAGTTCTTGTATGGAAAACTTCTTTATTTGACGAGGTATCTTCTCGAAATTCGGCATGGATTATTACCTAAGACAAAGTCATAATATTTGAAGAAATTTTCTAGATCGGACAACTATAGCATATAGCTGCCATACAAACCTTCTGACAAAAACCAAGTACATATATTGTTTCTTGTATTTTTTAACTGAGAAAGAGTAAGTGGCTTGCTAGCAAGAGGCAGAAGTATGATCTCACTAGAACTCTAGCGCTACGAAGACTTAAACTTAAAATAGTGTTTTTACTCTTAAATAAAGTTGCTGATGAGTGTGCTTATAATTTTTGTGTTGTTGTTATTGCTGAGCGTTTGTAAACTTTTTCTGTTGTTGTTGTTGCTGCTGTGTATTCTAACTATTTTTGTGTTATTGCTGAGCGTGCTTATACTATTTATATTGTTGCTGCTGCTGCTGTGTGTTCTTACTCTGTTTGTGTTGTTTTTGTTTTTGTTAGCGTGTTAAGTGAAGCATTATTGTTATTATATGTAATAAGTAGGTGTCTACTTTTTATAATTTTATTATTTATTATACTAGTGTCTTTCTTGAGCCAACTCTTTGCCGCTCTTCTTGCCGCTTATCGCTGGCGATCGCCTTTTTTATTGCCATTTATGTTGTTGATTTATTTATGCTTCCTTTTAAAAACACACTGGATATATACTAACACATTATTCTTACACTTTTATTGTTTTAAACTTGACAGCAACTCAACAGTTTCACACACAAATAAGTTTTTTCCCCACTTTGCTTCGTCATGAAAGTTCTCATAGCGACTGGAGTTCGTTTACAAATTTTATGCACCACTAATTTGCTGTCGATTTTATTATTGGTAGTTGTTGTTTTTGGCATTTCACTACACTAATATTGTTGTAATTTCACTTCCCTTTGAGCTTTTGATCATACGAGAATCTCGCGGGACTGTGGCGTCGTGCTCTTGGCTCTCTTGCGGGGGCGTTTAGTCCCTTCTATCTCCGCGACAGTTACACCGCTTGCTAGCAGCTGTTCATTAACTGCAAACGCAAGTTGGCAACAACAAAAAATAGCTGTAAAACAACAATAATTTCGAATTCTTTGCAATTCATATTCGCACCGCCAAGTTGGCAAAACGACGTCACTCGTCACTGCTGCTGGCAGTTGCGGCATATGGCGTGCCTAGCGAGCCTTTTTAACGAATTTCAGTGCTTCACACCGCTCGCCACACACCATTCGCACTTTTCCACCGACCAACTGGCGGTTTGCAAATTTTTGACTTCGATTTCTGAGTTCAGTTAAAGAAATCAATTTTAGACTTTAGTTTTAGACTTCAATTTTACACTTCAATTATTGATTTGAATTTTGTGCTAAACGCAAGCTTTTGAGCTCGACTTCGGCGTTGCAACTTCGGAAAAAATTTATTCTATGAAAATACTACTATGTATTTTGCTTCCTAACAGTAAAACACATATTTTATTTCACAAAAAAAAAAAAATTGTTCATAAAATCGTAAACTACAACAAAACAATAATGAGTGCGCGACCTGTTACTGGCGTTGCGGCGCTCCATTTGCCTTTGCGCTCGCGTCCGCTGCGTCGCCGTCAACTGGCAACTGGTTTTATCGCACGATCGCACGATTTTCTCCATTTACCTACACGCTCATACAGTGTATGCACTTTTTGTTGTTGTAATATATTTTTTTGTTTTTTGTTCTTCAACTGTGCACCGTATACATTTTCACTTTTAACGTAAGCATTTTTGCAACAAGCCACCGAGGAGCGCCTTGCATTCATAGAAAAATCATAAAAATTTAATTAGCTAATCGCTAGCTGGCCGACACTTGGCTCCGCACACACTTTACCTTTACACAGAAAGCGATATTCTTTGGTGATTTTGTGAAATTGCTTCTTCTGCAGCTCTTGGGTGAGCCCAGCAATTCTTTGACTCCAAAAGGTATGCTGCGTCACACCACTCTTTCACACAAAAAAAAATTTATTATTACTATTTCGTTTTGTTTCTCTACACTTTGCACACAATTCGTAGCGCCACGGTACACTGCGCGTCTCGTCGTCTTTGCCACCTTTACACCGTCGCGTCGTCCGTCGTTTCGCTGCCGTCCAACATGCGCCAGTTCGTCTGTAAAACCGAACCGCTCGTGGATACCCGTAAAACACAACTGAATTCGGCGCTCAAGCTGGCCTAACAACTAAGCTGTCTAGCTAACTGGGTCCAATTGGTCTGCAAAGATGGTTGCTTGCAAGAGAGCGAGTCGCAGAGAGTTGGCTGACTGAAGAGCTGGGCAAACTAAGCCGTGATCAAGTGAACTGATCGTATGCAAGCTACTGTGTTCGTTTTTTGGTAATGCCCGTATGTAGGTATGTTTATATAAACGGTTAAGTATGAAGTTTGTAGCCACGGAGACAAACTGCGCTTAGTGAGTTCAAGTTACTAAGGCGCTGAGTTATATGAGATAAATGGCTTAATGCAGTTTTGTGCAATTTGCTTTACCGACAGATGGAGAAAGGTTCAAGAAATGTTTAGTGCAAGACACCAGGGAAACAATGGCGTTTCTCTTGTGCACTTGTCATGCATTGGCAAGACTCTACTGTAAGCATCTGGGACCCCCACGGTAATGATACACTGGAGGAGGTATCGATAGTGTGGTCGCAGAAACTGTTTAAATTCGAGTCAAGTGCAGGCATCCTAAAGGATGACCTAGTAACTGACAAAATTGGTCTAAGGGTGCGTTATTGACCTAACGGATCAACCTAACCTAATCTAACCTTTGTAAAATTTGTTAGTCCTTTGTGTGTTTTTGGTAGGGATAGGTAGGTAGGGGTTTGTTGGAGATTTTCCTTACCTTTTTTAGCGGCATTTTGCTTTCTGTAGACAAAATTCGGTAAAGATGATATAATCTGACAAATCTGCTCGTCGGTGGCTGTAGATTTTGAGTTGGGCCCGGAACACGGAACCGTCCCATGTAGATACATAGATAGACAGATAAAAATTAATTGAGGTTTTGCACTCCGACCTATGGTCTATTGCGAAGATGGAGGTGATGGAGGATCCCTGTCCATGTAGATGGATCCATAAGCCTTGAGCCTGCTTCTACAAATTGCAGGGCAATATAGAATCAGGTGTTGATGTCCCATATCCTCGGTATGTCGTTCAGCGACTGGGAACGGCCTGTTCAGACGTTGTTTTTGAGCGGTCTTTACGGGGTGACTGAGACCGTTTCAAGTTCTTTTTGTTAATAACTAAAATTGGGGTTCATAAGTCAGTTGCATCTTCAGCTATTGCTGAATCCCTCACTCTGGCATGGCATATAGCTGTCATACAAACTGAAAGACCAAAGTTAAGTTCTTATATGGAAAAAATTTTTATTTAACGAGATATCTTCAAGAAATTTGGCGCAGGTTAATATTTGAGGTAACGCTACAATATCCGAAGAAATTATTCAGATTGCATCACTATAACATATGGCTGTCGTACAAACTGAACGCTCAAGGTCAAGTTCTTGTATGTAGAGCTTTTTTATTTAAAGAGATATCTGCACGAAATTTGGTATACATGATTAGGCGAGACAACGGTATAATCTCCAAAGAAATTGTTGGGATCAAATCACTACATCTTATAGCTGACATACAAAGTGAACGACCAAGGTGAAGTACTTGTATGGAAAACTTCTTTATTTAACGAGATATCACGGAATTTTGAACAGATTAATGTCCAAAACAACGCTACAATCTCTGAAGAAAGTGTTCAGATCGGACTACCATAGCACAAAGCCGCAACAAACCTAACCTCTAAGCAATTGACACCGGATTTCGTGTACTAATTTCAACAATTTATTTTAAATAGATAATTTAGTTTTCCAATTTATATATGTAAATATATATACAAGTGGCAATGCATATAAACCTACTACTTATCCTTCTTCCTCTTAGACTTCTTCGGTCGTTTCTCTTTAGATTTTTTCTTCGATTTCTTATGACTTTTGCTCTTTTTGCTCTTCTTTTTACGCGCATTGCGTTCGCTTTTATAGCTTGCATTATCCTCGTCGCTGCTGCTGCTTGAGCTGCGTGCTGTGGTTTTCAAAATCTTGCGTACCTTTTTCTCCACCCAGCCTTCGTTATCAAGTTGTCTGCTGTTCTTGGCGCGCTGTACCAGGAACCGTATCATCTTTTCTTCAACCACCTTGTTCATTTGGTCCACAGCGATGTCAGACGCTTGAGTATGTACGTGCTGTGGCAATTGTGGGCCATAGGCATCCGTCACCACACCCGATGAAGTGCTCGGTAGTTCAAAAGAGACAGCTGTAGCGCCTAAAGCGTTCACCGAACCCTGTAGACGTGTGCTTTTTGACTTGCCTTCCGGTGACTTTAATATTGTGCTATTATTTTCTCCTTTTGAAGACTGAATCGTTGTTGATTCCTCGTTTGATGACAACTTTGTTGACACCGTTGAGGCTGAATTCACTGACGTCTTGGAAGATATGCTTGTAGGTCGTTTAAATTCAATTCTGTTGTTGTTATTAACCGGTTTCGCAGCAGCAGGTATCAGACCCATACCAGAAACCATAACGGTGGGTGACGATTGCTCCTCCAAGTCAATTGATTCCACAGAGTTGCAATCTGTCTTTTCCGGGGTTTTCTCGCGCTCTTTCTTAGAAAGCAACGCACTAAAGATGCCACGTGGCGGCGATGTGTTTCGCAGTAAGTTTACTTGTTCGGCTCTCTTTACCGCGCATGCGTCTGTACTGTCACCTTCTCTGCTGATCACAGTCACTTCGTACTGTTCAACGCCTTCTTCGTCGCTGCTATCATCAAAAATTGCTTTGTAGAGCTCCAACTTCTCATAGGATGGTTTCGAAATTGATTCAGCCGAAAGTTTTTCCAAATCGGTCTTGGCTGTATGGCGACCCACTTTCGGACCGTCATCTTTACTTCGCTTTGAGCCCGCATGCGCACTTTTTAATTGATCTACAACAACTATAGATGTGGCGGAAAGCGAGGAGCTTGGACTACACGAGGTCATAGTCGAAACAGTGCAAGTCGAAACCGAAGTTGCAGATTTTGTGTTATTTGTTTCTCCCTTATCCGTTCCGCATTTTGTGTGTTTTAGTATTGGTTTTATCTCGGGTATTTTCATAGGCACGATGACTGGCGTCTTGAAATCCGACTTTTTATGCAAGCAATCTTCCAGATAATCGAAAACGGACATTTTCGAAGAAGAAGAAGGCCGCTTCTCTTCCTCCATGTGTCCACCGAAGGGTTCAGCAATGTTATATCGTTTGCATAGTAAAGAATGTGGTTTCCACATTGAACGTGAACGTTCGACGATAATTTTCTTCGGGCTACTAAGAATGCTTTCAGAAGTTGCGGATGACTTTTGCTCCACTTCAAGACTAGACTCTGAGACAAAACTGCAAATAAAAAAATTAAACGAATTTCACTTAATATTTTAAGCCTACTAACCGTTGTGACATCAGCCCATCTAGCGGCCTAAAGATTTTACTAGCCTGTATGAACTCCTTCTTTTCCATTTCTCGATCCCAGTCGTTCAAATGCACCGGCTGTATTTTGTTCAAGAAACACGTAATCTCCTCCTCGGTTTTCACTTCGGCCAAAAGAAACTCCTCATAACGTCGCTGTTTTTGTTCATCATGCAAAAAGGGCTTGAACATGCTTGTCAAGGAATCATCTTTTGATTTGCTGTACGCTTCCTTAACCATGCCTGCGAATTCACTGCTCTTCACGGAAGAGATCTCTCTTTCAATATCACTAGCGCGTGTGAAGCGATCATTCTGTTCTAAAGACCCCCAAATAGACCTTGCTTTGTCGGTCCTTTTGTCGTATCCACCTGCAACACGAGTGGGCTTTGTATCTTGCAGAGCAGTGTGTGAGTCAGGATCAGACTTGCTTTGTCTTCGGTTGTTTGTTTGCTCTGCTCGCGAGTGTATGCTTGTAGTTGGCTGTTCCTCTTTTTGACGCTCCTCACCCAGTAAATCAGCGCGTTCATCGGGATTTAATCTATTTTTAGTATGGTCCACATTTTTGAAAAATGATTCCAGCTCTTCAGCTCTTTTCGCATCTATAGGCTGGAAACGACTTTTTCGTTCGGCCCAATTGCGTGGCGTAAAGTTAGCTGGTACCACTACATTTTCGGATTTTTTTAAACGTAACGGATTCTTACATGCCGAAAATCCATCAACCACAAGTTGATCTTGTTCAATAATGACTTTCTTTTTATGCGGCTTGCGGTCCTCTAATGAGAAATCGTAACGTGACATATCATCCCGGGCATATATGTCTTCATCTTCGTCCTCCAATGCACCGACGCCAAATGCTTGTCCTTTAAATGATATTTTCTTATTGTTTTTACCTACTGCTTTCAAGGCAGGTTCAAACAAATTTATGTGCCTATTGCTTGATGCTTCGCCTTGAGCGTTAGAAAGTACGGGATCTCGACTCAAGCTACCACGGTAGCCCAAACCAAAGCGATCGCTTTTTGATAAACACACGTATGGTTCGTAATCGTCTGGTGCAAATGTAATTTTATCAGTTTCTTCATCTGAACTTTCTGTCTCGCCACCAGCATCATCGGAATGCTCTGACGACTTTGTTGAGCTTGCATTCGGCTGGTATCCATACTGTTGCATAACGTACATTTCACGTTGGTTTCTACTTCGTGCTGATTTCTTTTCTTTACGTGTTTGCCTTGGTCCAATACCTTGGCCTGGACGCCAACCCATGCTTTTTAAAATCCGCTCACTAATTTTGACATTATTTGGTACAATCAGTTGTTCTAGTACGGGCTTTCCTGGTATCGGTCCACTATGTGTTGTCATCAATTTACGCTTACGATTTAATTCTGGTTCAAATGACGTATATTCCGCTCGTGTTTGCAGACGTTGTGGCGCAATACCGAATTCACCACGATCTTCATCGTCCATAAAATCATCAGGACGTTGTTGTTGGCGTTGTGCCGCCTTTTCGCTGCGTGAGCTTTTAAATGTTGCTGGTGTCCAACCTTCCTGTGAGCCAACAGTATTCCAGTAGCCAGCGCTAAACCCACCGGTAAAAGCACCATGGAAACGGCGCTTGCCATTCTCGTCAGTTACGATTTGATCTTCCACACGAATTGGTTTCTTCGAGGGCACGGAATCTTAAATGAAGTAAAACGTTTAAAAACATAATTTACTATGCGTAGAATTCGGGATTACCTTCGTCAAGTGCTGGCAAAGTCGTGCCAAAGCGGTGAAGACCAGACTCGTCATACATTTTGCTTTTTGCGTCGATTTAAGTTTGCAGTCAGTTCAATAAAAGTCATCCGATTTCACATCACTTTGAATTCACTAGTCGCAAAATTGTTTTGTTAACTTCATGGGTTATCATAAAAACCATTAGCAAATCGCTCTCCGATAAATACGATCAAATATGGACAGCTGTTAATACTGCTTCTTACTAATGTAACTTCACGTTCACAGTGGTGTCTTGGCGTTTGTTTATTATAATTAGTTTTTTTATATTACACGGTTAATTTTAAATTTGGAGAGAATTGAAATTTTTACGTTTCCCTTGAAATTTTTAATGTATTTTGTAAATTATGCCTGACATATGGAAGAAAGGAGGGGTAAAATAAACATTTACCAAAAATAGTTCACATTAATGATAAACAATTTCATAACTTTCAGTTGTCAGAGTCTATTCATAAATATATTGACAAGCACTATTGTGAACTACAGCATCTAAATAGCGTATACGTTATCCGGAATCAGTGCAATTCTCATTCAAATTTTTCAAAACCAAAAGTTTTATGACGGAAAATATCCTTTAAAAATATATTACTATATTGCGTTAATTTTATTTTTCATACAAATATTTAAAGCATACATATCTAACTATCTAGTATGTAAGTATATTTGAAAGTTTATAAAAAGTCAGATGTGCCACCAATACTAACTTTTAATTGGTTCTATATCAATTTCACTTCCTTTTCCTTCAATTTGTGTATCTCCGTTATTTTCGGTGCTTGTTGTCTCTTTGTTTTCCCCTTCCTCAACTGATTGGGACGCGCGTTCAAATAAGATTACTAGTTCGGTGTGTGTAGTATGTGGGAACATATCTACTGCAATTGCGGTTTTGGGAAAGAAGGGATCCCCCTTGTATTGTTTTGATTCAGGTCGACCCAATTCAATCCAATTTCGCTGTGCATGCGCTGGATTACAAGATATGTACACCAAGCGTTTTATTGCCGTAGCGGCGCGTATTGCTGCAATGGATCTATTATCTGGAATTAAAATGTAATGTTATTTGTTAGTTTATAAGTTGTTATAGAACCACTTACGTAGTCCAGCTCTCGGTGGATCCACCACAGCAATGAGGTCCAGCGGCGCTCCAGGTGCATTACCATACACAACTTCACGTACCATCGATTGTATGTAATCATCAGCGTTACCAGCGAAAAACTTACAATTTTCAATTGAATTAGCCGTAGCATTGAATTCGGCATCCTTAATTGCATCTGGTACAATTTCTACACCAAGTACTTGTTTGCAATGTTTGGCGAATGCTAACGCTATCGTGCCAGTACCACAACAAATGTCTAACACGGTGGAATGTGGTTGAGGTGCGGCCAACTCGATAGCTTTATCATATAGTACTTCGGCACCCTGCGTATTTATTTGAAAGAAAGCCAGCGGGCTTATTTTAAAAGATAGATTGTGTATTGTATCGGTGTTGTGAGTGTTACCAGAAATGTGCTCTATAGGTGAGACCACTTGACCGGCTTCACGATGTTTCACATCTTGGTAATACAGCGATGTGCATTTGAAACCTTTTATTGCATCGGCACATATTTCATAATATTCCTTTAAATTCTGTTTCAAAGTTGCTAATTCAGTATCTTTCAAATTGGAAGAATAAACACCGACAACCAGCATTATCTCTCCCGTATGAGCAGATGTACGTACCATCAACTGTCGAATATGACCCGAATTATCCTCTGGATTAAAAGGCAAAAAGTTTGAATCTCTAATAAACTGTTGAAAACTCTCTGCTGCCCATTTAGCCGAGTCGGGTATATGTGGTAAGTCTTGAATTTCTGAAACTTCTACGGACCCGTCGGCATAACTGCCCAAACGAAAGCCAACCACAACTTCACCCAAGGCATTTTTGCCAACAGTAAACTCATTTTTGTTACGGTATCCATTGATTTGCGGAGATGCTTTAACACCATCGAATTTGAATTCGTTCAATTGTTTCTTGGCTGCATGGTTCGTGTTGCGTAATTTGTTTATGAATTTTTTTAGAAGCTCCTCCATTTCACTACTCTTCCTTTGTAGCTGTTCGTCATAGGGAAAGGCAGCGTAGGGACATATCGCATCAGCAGAAGTACGTTGTCGTTTTGGTTTGCTTTCTTTCTCCTCCCGCTGTGCGTCTTCATTTCGTCGCTTCTGTAATGGATCTGCAGACGCCTTTGCAGCCTATTTAAAAATTACATACATATGTAAAAATGTATTAGGTTATCATAATTTCAAACTTACAGCAGCTTGCAATACTTTTCCTTTCCATTTATAACCATTAAGCGTTTCAATTGCTCGTTGTTGGTCCTCCTCACTACGAAAACATACGAATGCGAACTCTTTACGAAGCGGCGATTTAATTTTAGTCATGTTGAGATTTAGTTTGGACTTTAAAAGTTTCTTAAATTCCTAAGTACGGCAGAAATTATACTCGTTTTACTTAAAAAAAATATTAACACGGCTCTTACCCCAATGCCGAAATAGCCCAAATTCCGTACTTCAATCTTGTAAATCTCGGATGTGAATTCATTTCGTTTTAAGTAATTAAACTCGTCATTTGTAACATTAGCCGACTTCTCATCTTTCGGAGTTTCATCAGGAATCGCTTGCTCCACAATTTTTTCACCCGCACACTCTTTCTCAGTCTCATTTTTTGACTCGGGAATTTGTTCGCAATTTTCGTTAGTGACTTCGCTCATGGTGTTTATATTTAATTTCAAATTTACTATAATTTATTTATTATAAATTACCGGCTGATGTTTATTCTTTAAACATGTGGTAAATGTTACAACTTCTTTTCAAAAGTAATCAGTCACAATTATGCTTCTAACAAAATAATATTTTATGCGACTGTAATGGAATTTAATTGTATGTAATAAGAAAATATTTTAAATAATAAAGATTGTTTAAACTAGTACCTCTTAAGAATGTACAAAGGTTTAAAAAGTAGCTCTATCTATCTATTGAATTTTTATGCTCTTCGACTTCTTGACAAGAATTGGTTGTGTTCTTGACAATACTACATTTTGCTGGATCTGGCAAGCTTTTTTAAAACTGAGCAAGCAAAATTATTGTCAAAACCGGCTGTGTGTGGAAACATTTTGCGAAATTCAGGCAGTAAAGGAGTTAAATATCTTAGATTTCCACTGTTTATAGAGGCATAAATAAGTTATTAACTGATTTATACCAAAAGAATATGTCACTGATGCCGGGACCATTAGGACAGGGACCTTTGCTACAGGTGAGTTGCGTTGAATACATCAAGCGAATAGTCGATTAACTGGACGTCAATGTTTCTTTGTTGTACACCACCCTTTGTCCGTTGTTTTCGCTCACCCACAAAAGAATGCTATCGAGCCGATGCAAGTAGACGCGCCCATAGAGGACAATGATAATAACGAGGAGCACCAGCTTATTGTTGAAAACCCATCTCTTGATCTCGAAGTATATGCTAATTCTTTCACGGGCTTGGCGACTTTATATCGCTTAAAATTTGTTGCCGATGTGTGCCCAACATTGCGTTTGGAAGCCCTGAAAATGGCTATAAAACATGTAATGACAACTTATAATGTTAACATGTATCAATCACTGCACAAAAAGCTCTTAGAGTTAAATACTGGTGCAGCTAGTAGTGGTTCGGGACAGGCTGGCGCTGCTGGCCTACCCGATGTAGCTGCCCAATCTGGTACGTCTGCGGGTGGCGGAGCTGGAGCAGATGCGCTGGACTTGCCAGCTTACGACAGCAATTGGGTGGAAACGAAGGGTAAACAAGCTGCATTCAATTTGGAGAAATTAGACTCGGATTTAAAGAATTATAAATCAAATTCTATCAAAGAAAGTATACGACGTGGTCATGACGATTTGGGCGATCACTACTTAAGTTGTGGCGATCTGACCAACGCTTTGAAATGTTATTCACGCGCACGCGACTATTGCACCAGCGGTAAACATGTTATCAATATGTGTTTGAATGTTATCAAGGTGTCATTGTACTTACAAAACTGGGCACATGTGCTTAGTTATGTAAATAAAGCAGAGAGCACTCCTGACTTTATGGAAGGTCCTAAAGAAGCCAATTTGGTATGTAAATAATTTGTTGTATACATACGTACATATATATTATTCAATAATCGTGCTTTGTAGTCGGTTGCCACACGTCTCAAATGCGCAGCGGGACTTGCTGAACTACAAACTAAAAAATATAAATCGGCGGCTAAAAAATTTTTGCAAGCCAGCTTCGATCACTGCGAATTCCCTGAGATGCTGTCACAAAACAATGTTGCTATGTATGGTGGACTTTGTGCACTAGCCACCTTCGATCGTCAAGAATTGCAGAAAAATGTAATATCGTCAAGCTCGTTTAAGCTGTTTTTAGAATTAGAACCACAGCTACGCGACATAATATTCAAATTCTACGAATCCAAATACGCATCCTGCCTAAAGTTACTTGATGAGATTCGCGACAATTTGTTGCTAGACATGTACATAGCTCCGCATGTGAACACGCTCTACACAAAGATACGGAATCGTGCCCTAATACAATATTTTAGTCCTTACCTATCGGCTGATATGCGGAAAATGGCAACTGCGTTTAATCGCAGTGTGCCAGCTTTGGAGAATGAAGTTATGCAATTGATACTGGATGGTCAAATTCAAGCGCGTATCGATTCACAAAACAAAATACTATGCGCCAAGGAGGCAGATCAGCGTAACAACACATTTGAGCGTGCTATAAGCATGGGTAGAGAATATCAAAGACGTCTGCGTATGTCCATTTTGCGTGCCGCAATGCTCAAAAGCCACATTCAAGTCAAGGTAACTAATACTTAAAGTTGCGGATTTAGTAAATATTTCATACATTTTTGTTTAGAATGTACCACGCGACTCTGGAAATCACGGTACCGACTTTTGTGTCTCCGCTGGTTCGAGCACTACCGCCGCCGTCAGGAACTGAATTTATTACTAGGATTCAGATAATTATATTTGGACACAACTAACATATTAATAAATTTAGCATTTCATTCATTAAAACATGTACAAAAGATTTGCAAAAAATTGTCACACTCTTTTTAGGCATACATATTTCGATCCATAAAACGCAACCTTAAATTTAGTAGTTACTGGTTTTTGAAAGTTTTATTATTACTTTTCACATATATTTATGTCCACAAAAGTTGATATTACACAGTTTGAAATGCATAAGTATTATATCATTATTATATTGGTTATTGGCTGTTAACGTCTCCTATCCCTCGATCTGCTAAGGTTTCGGCGTTCATTCTTTGAATGCCGACTATCTCTGTCGTTAGAACGACTACGATAACGCTGATCTCTGTAGTGATGTCGTTCCCTGTGACTTTCCTTACGTTCTTTCGAGCGACTCCGCTCCCTACGTGTATGCTTGTTACGGCTAGACTCCCTGTCCTCATTGTACGACCGTTCCTTCTCTCTGTCTTTTTCAAGAGCTGATTTGAAATATTTCCTTCGTTCATCGCGTGATCGGCTGCGTCGTTGTCTGCGTAAGTCTCTCGAGCCTTCATCAGTTTCCGAATCAGAAGTGGATGAACTGCTGGAAGACTGGGAATCATCGGTTGACTGACTATTCCTGCTTTTTTTCTTTTCCACTTTTTTCTTCTTCCTCTCTGTATTGTGTCTTTCTTTAAAGGGTCTCTGATCTTCGTCGTCACTTTCATTTGTGTAATTTCCACTGCTGCTGCTCGACTTCTTTGAATGCTTTTTCTTCGTTTTCTTTTCCTTCTTACTTTTATGAGACTTTTCTTTTTTTAACTTTCGCTTTACACTTTTCTTCTTTAATTTTTCTATCTTTTCCAGCTTTTTTAATAACACCAGTTTCTGTTCCTTGCTCAGCGACTTTAGAAACGCCAATTCTGTGTTCCCTTTGTCCATACCCGCTTTCATTTCACTCTCCTCGTCATCACTTGGCACTAATCTGTGTTGTTGGTGCACTTGTTTGATATTCTGCAGTTCCAATGCGGATTTTTTCATTACCAAACCATCTTCTTTCATCTGTTCTTCCAGCACATTCTTGGCCATCATCTCACTGGCTTCCGCTTCGGAATGCAGCTTACGTGCTTCGCTCATGGAAATACTATACATACTACACTCTTTATCGGTATTGATGTGACCCCATTTGTGACACTTTATGCAACGCACATTACGCACTTGTATGCCAAACGGCTGATCGCGAATTTCTGTGTCACCTTTGCAATATGATTCACGTGGCGCATTAAACTTGCGTTGCCACTCAAACTTGTACTCCGGTTCAGTGGCATCCTTTTCGCGTTCTTTGCGCACACCAGGCGGCGGCTCGTACATGAAATTTACGCTTAGCTTATCTTTGCTGTCTTTGCTTAGCATAGCTTTGTTTTCATGCAAATTTTGCTCCTTCTCATACTGTGTACGGAGCTCCTCCTGTTTCTTCTTGTAGGCCTCCGCTTGCTGTTCCGCCATCCATACCTATAAAACAACAATATAAATATAGTTTGTAAATTATTAGAAAATTAAAACTGAATTCATATAATAAATAATAAAAAAAAACGCAATGCAGCTTTGTTTAGAAATAATCGTGTCTTACCCGTTTTAGATTGTCTCTAGAAGCTGGGTGAAAGAACTTCTTGCACATATAATTATTAAAACCTTTACCCATTTTACTGCTACTGAATGCTTTTTACTACTTTTTATGCAATTTAAAATATATTTAGATTTGTTTTGTGATATCTGCGAAAGTTGATGGACTTATATATAGTACACAAAATCCATGACACCAGCTGATTACAGCTGTCAATACAGCAAAGCTGTCAAAACAGTGTAGAGAATGGCAACACCAAAATAAAGCGAAACTGTGCAATGTGGGCAATATAATGTTTTATAACGAATATTATTTGAAATTACAAAATAAGCGTTTACATTTTCTAATATTTTTGCAATTTCATTCTATTTATTAAATTCATTACGAGTGCGGTTTAAATGTAAGCAGCCATATTTACATATGCGTACATATATACATACATACATGTGTATTTCCACATACAAATTTACAATTTTTAAATAACATTTTATAAAAATATACATATATAACATAAATCACAAAGAATTAATTTTATTGCACAATGAATTTAAACTGTTGAGGCATAGAGCGGCATCTGACGGCAACGGTGAAAAAATCTTCGCTTGAATCCGTTAACAACCTGAATTTTGACACATAGCTCTTAACCGAGTTGTAAATGTGGTCAAATCTATTGGCTAAAGCAAGTAACCGATTTTTTAATAGAAATAAAAAATGAAGCGGCGACTTATATTTTTAATTATTCCATATTATTCGAATTTGTCAAAATGCATCCTGTAAAAATTAAGATGTGAGAAGCATGTAATAAGTAGCACAGAGCACAATTGCGCCCTCAAAAGCACCAACACAATAGACAAATTAACAGATTTTTATAGTAAATTTGTATCGGTAAAGTCAGCGTTGTTTGCGGTATGTGCGTAGGTGTGTGCGCTGTTGTGTGAGTTTTGTTTAAATATTTGTTAGTGTTGGTGGTTGGCAGGATGGCGTGTGTGGCGCGTCGTGGTTGGCGCTTGCCCCTTTGCTGATCGGTACCTTGCATCGTTTGTAGCTCTTCGGTGGATACAACAATAGGCACAGCATTTGCCACTTGCGTTGCACTATGAGGCGCGGTCGGCTTTTGTAGCGCATATTTTTGCATTTCCAAATATTTCTGCCAGATCTGCGTGATGTGGTCACCTTCTTGGTTAAAGTCTTGAAATTGCAATTTTACATTGCCCTCATTCACATATACCTGACGTGTCCGCTGAAAGTGATTATCTTGAATGATTACATTCCGAAAGCAGAAAAGACCACCAGTTGCAGCAAAGCCGTCGGACACATTGTTGGCCATTTCCCCGTCCATATCAACATTGACAGTTGCCGTATGATTGCAGGTAACAGCTACGCCACCTACGGCATTGCCAACTGCGTTGGTGTTCAAAGTATGCAGCACGCTTTTTCTAGGTGTTTTATGGCACTCCTGCGACATGTGGTTACTGTCAGCGTTGGCCAGCATACGCATAGTGCTAGTTGCGGCATTACTTCTGTACTGTTCCAGCTGCTTCACTTGCTGTGCCAATTTGGCGTTCTCCTTCTCTAAGTAGTCGATTTGCAGTGTGAGTTGTATGTGCTGTGTGCGCAACTCTTCCATAGACCTTAGTTTGAAGCCCGTATGCACCTGTTGGGCCACGTAATTTTCGGCGTACGTTGTCACCTTGGCCAGCGCGTAAAAGCATGCAAAAATTGCCAAAAAGTTCAAATAAATATCATAATTCTCAAAACAGGCTTTCCCACGCAACGTGTCTTCGTAGGCGTTATCTGAAAGTGTATTAGAAAATATTAAAATCTGCGTATAAACTGGCGGGGCGCTTACCCATGTGCACCTCAATGGTCATTGGGTCCTCGCGTTGCTGTTCGATATGTTTGAAATAGCAGAGTATGATCCACGTGGTGACCGCCAGCGATATCAGAAATAGAAAATTAATTGAGGAAAACATTTTGACGTCTTTGGAATTTTGATCAGAAATAAAAAAGTTTTCAGCAATACAAATATAAAATTGTTTGAGTACAAACGTTTTTACACAAATTTTTCCTGCGTTTAATTTGTAACTGACAGCATGTGTCGAAAACTGAAGTCAAAACTTTTGACAACAAAAACGAAGAAAACCGCTAGAAGCCGACAAGTGCCGTCTAGCGGCAAGTGGACGCAACATTCTTTGGAAATATTAAGTTTTTATTTATTTAAAAAATCAAGATTTAATTACTAATAATTTGCTATGTTACTGGCTAACGGTTTAAAATAGAGTTTTCGCTTCTCCGACGCGTAAATAAGCAAATATTTGTCACTCATCACTCGCCTTGCCGAAAGTTCGCGATGTCATCATAACCGCGATAACCCAGCTTGTAACCAGCCACAGCGTGTCCAAAGCGCACCGCCGCTTGCAAACTTTTTTCGAGCACTTGCAATGCATATATAACGGCAGCGCAGAAGGTATCACCAGCGCCAAGCGAGTCCACAATTTCACCGACCGGTTTCGATGGTATGAATGCGTAATTGCCCAGCGCATCTACGCAACCGGCGCCTTCCGCACCCCACGGACATATAATAGCCGGCTTCGTGTCATCCCACTCGAGCTGTGGTTTGAGCCTGTTATATAAACCCATTACAGCGGCCGCCGGTTCCTGCCAGCCCAAGTGTATTGCCAAATCTTTACCCAGAAACACAAAATCAGCCGCCTCGCCCAGCTCAAGTATTTCATCCTTCATTTTCTCCAAATCGACGGATATGCGTATACGTTCGTTTGGCTTGCGCAACTCTTTATTATGCTTGCGTATGTCGCGTATAAACTGCAGCACCGACGCATTATTGCGACCTTCGAAATGTATCCAGCCATAGTTACTTAAGTCAAGTCGCGTGCCGTGTTCATATGTCAGCGTCGGAAATCCGGGGTTTGAGTGTATGATTGTGCGCGAACCGCTCGCTTTGTTGAGTATGACCGAAGAGAATGGCGGATCCATATCGGTGCTTGGACAATTCTCTATAATAATGTTACGCTTGCGGCAGTCTTCGTACAGGAAAGCAAAGGCAGGCGAAGCGCTTAACATGCCCAGAAACTCCACCTGTGGCGCGCCTAGTTGCCGCAAGACTGTGCAATTATTGGAAGCATTGCCGCCGCGTTGCCAATAGCCGGCTAGACAGCGCTTGTCGGTGTCCTCCACGGGATATTGCTCCACCAAATGTATAACGTCTAACACACACATGCCCACACAGAGTATGCGGCGTTGTTGTGGCGACGTCGCTGTTGTGTTGCTCATGATCTCAGCTATATTATCAAGCACTGCTTCACTTTTGACTTCAGATTTCAGCTACTGCTCCAAGCGCCACTTGGCTTTTGACTGCAGGTTTTTTTTTTTCAAACTTCACGCCGCTTGTTCACTAGCGCCGGCCTCGGGTTTTGTCTTTTGACACTGCAATATTTGCAAACGTCAAATTTCTCTGCAAGTAATTGTAATATTATTTTTGTTTTCTATTGAATTGAAATCTTATCAAAAAATTGTTTGAGTTGTGGTCTTTCGAACAGCTGTTTTCTACTGCCTTCTCAAATTTCAACTAAACGCTCATCTACTATTTGCTGTTCTTTAATGCGTGCACTACAAGCCAAAAATAACGCTCTCTTTGTTAGACTCCAGCGGATCGTGCATAGCCAGCGCTTCTTGGAGATTAATGATCGCTCAGTCAGCGTATGGAGCACGTATGCCGAGAGAGTACTTTAACAATATCAATTGATTAATTAATTAGTGTGCTGTTCGTAGTTGCCATAAGCAACGGAATTGACTACTCTCATTTGCAACAAATTTTAGTTGATTTTAGTCGATTAGTTTGTATGGCAGCTATATGCTATAGTGACCCGATCTCAATAGTTTTTTCGAAGATCGTGCCACTGCTTTGAGTAACAATTCATGCCAAATTCCATGAAGATATCTCGTCAAATCAAAAAGTTTTCCATACAACGACTTAATTCCGAACGCTCAGTTTATATGGCAGCTATATGACGGAATTGTGCAAAACTTGAGAGCGACATCTCAAAAACTGAGGGATGTGGTTAATTTAAATTTTTGGGGTCTCCGCCGCATCCTGCTATCTATTACAAATTTCTTAGTGAACTTAATACTACTCCTTCACATTTCCGTTTCCTTTTCAAATTTGTTTCGCGGCATGCTGGTCACCCTCTGCGGCCGCCACTTTTCACCACACTCGGTTGGTGCCACACAGCTACATGATAACCGGTTACTTGCTCTTCGTGTTGGCGCGTTCTCGTGTATATTGCCGCCCACTCCCAACAGGGTGTCCCAATGCGTACATTTGATGCATGCGCCGGTTCTCCAACAGCTATTTGCGCACACCGCCCAAGTTGACTGGTCGACAGACTCGCTAGTTGCCAGTTCGTTTATTTACTGCGATTGTTGTGCCGTTGTGTTGTTGTGATTGTGTTGAGTTTGCGGTTGCAGCCACGGCGTATACTGGTGAACGCTTGCTCTCGCTCAAGCAGTCAGTTGCTGTCAACGATGCCGTGCTGAAGTGACAGTTATCGTAACGTGCGGACGCCAAGTGGCCCCTTCTTAACTGAACGTAGTGTCAACAACACGAAATATAAAAGTACGAAACACACAGCAAGCGCGTGAGCAAAGACAAGTATGCTGCTGCTGCTTGCTGGTGGAAGAGTCTGTGCTCACAGCCAGCGCAGTGGACAGTTGTAAAGAGATTCGCGTAGCGATGTGACGTGTATTTTTTCCGTTTGTCGTGCTTGTTGCGTTCCGTATATGATCCGTGATAAATTCATTTTCATTTCCGTGAGTGTGTTGCACTTGCAACTTTTTATTACAATTAACGAATTTTTTAATTTATATTTTTTTTAGTATTTTTCGCATTTGCACTTGTTTGTAAACACTTGGCGCGCCTACGGAAATTTCAAATTGTAGTAGGTGCTATTGTGACTTGGTGTGTTTACAAAAAAAAAAAAAAAAAATAAATAACATGCCAATCTGTCAACTCTTTGCAATAACTGGCGTTTCGACCATTCTTATTAAATTTGCTTTATTTGTTTTTTTTTTTTATTTATTCTTTAAGAATTTTAGTGTTTCTTTTTTAAATTCAACAAAGCAAAATGAGCAAGCAGCGTTGTATACATTGTGGTGAGTGCGATATTTGGTGTATAATGGCATTGATATTTACAAAAAACTATATAAGTTTATACATATATGTATGTATGGTTGTTAAAAAGCTAATGCCACTTACAAAGAATTTAAGCTGAGCGTGAAATCAAAACTCGTACTAAAAACTGATAAATCAGTTATAGTTAGTGAGTAGTTAGCATACTTTTTAAGATTTTTAACATTTTAGTGACTTAGTGCATGGTGAGTACGCTCGCGTTAGTGAAAGAGCGCTTGCTTGTGCCTACAAACGCGCTCTTCATGTGGCAGATCTTACAAACGGTTTCCGTTGCGCTCATACCGTGTATTGTGGTGAAAGAGAGTGGTGGTCGACTGCTGTTGCCGTCGTCGTCGTCGTCGTGGTGGCACCGTGCCATTTTCATACACCAATCCATACGAGTATTTACATGTGTTCGTGCTTGCAAGTGGTCGCGATCTGCGTTGCTACAAGATTTCGTCGTTGATAATAGCAAAGTGGAAAATAATTACGTATTTGTGTTTTGCTTTTGATTTGTGAATTTGTAAATTTGTTTTATTTATATTTTATTAATTTACACGTCGTGTTGTTGTGCGCCGCTTTGCTGCTTTTTACAGAATCAATACAAATCAACAAGTGCAGTTTACATGCCAACAACAATGTGTAAGAAAATATGACAACCATGCAGTGCATGTTTGAGCATGTGTGTGCATGTTGTAAAGTTGTTGAAAAGTGAAAAATAATAAGTGAGAATAAATACAACACACACGAGTGCAAACATAGTTATAGGTATGTGTGAGATGTGCATATACAGTCAACATATACATAGCATATTGTTTACCATAATGCAATAAATAAACAAGTGATAGAAAGTGGAAAACACATGCACAGCTACATACATACATATGTATGCAAGCAATTATTTGTGTACGGAATTTGACTGCGGAAAATATGCACGTGTTCCGTTTTTGAGCGGCTGTTGAAACTAAAAAATTCGTTAACATCCTCGGAACAGTGTGAGTACATGTTTCGTAAATGCATATATGAATTTTTTTTGTAATATTTAAATGTATGTATGTATGGGCAAACACACGATCATTTTCATTCATTTAAAAAACTGCCTATATACTTTCCTTCATATATACACTTTTAAACATACATCTATAAATAAATATGTATGTATGTATGTAGGCACACATTTAGCTAAGCATGCTTGTATTTTTGCTGTTGTTGCATGCATATTTATTGCTAGGTAGAGCGTAATCCGTGATAATAATCTTTCACTAGTTGCTGTGTGCATCTCTCGTCTTCTTCTTGTATAGACGTACTCTGTGGAATTTCGTGCTTTGTTTGCAACTCCGCTCATTTGAGTGCGTACGACAATCAGCGTTCGTTGATAAGCTGCGCCTTTATCTTGGCCAGAGTTGCCCTCCCCTGCGGTTTTTAAGCTGTTTGTAGGCATTACTTTTTAATTAAAGCAAAACTATCTCGACCAATAAAAATTGGATTACAAGCAATATTGTTACTGTTCTTGAAAAAAAATAAATCCTTGTGTTTTGGCGTTCGAAAATTTGAACACTTCGACTATTGTGTTTTTAACGGTGTTTGACTTTAAAATTTGTTAAAGCTGAGGTTGATTTTCTTTTGTCTCGGGCTAAGGTGTCAGTCATAATTTCGAAGTCGTATATAATCTCATCTATCTACGAATAACTCTTGCCAACAGGTGCTATTTCAAACTGAGCAGGGAATTGTAAAGAAAAGTCCTCTCGAGGCGAACAAAGACCAAACACTATAAATCACTCATTATCCCCGTTTTGCTATAGGGTGCAGAGGATGATGACAGCAACTGATGATGAGTACTCGTTACGAGTTTTCGAGAGAAAGGTTCTAACGAAGAGTTATGATACTTTGCGCATTGGCAACGGGGAATATCAGATTCGATGGAACGATGAACTTTACGACGAGTTATACGATGACATTAACATAGTTTAGGGAAATAATAGACAGCGGCTACGCTGGCTAGGTCATGTCGTCCGAATGGATGAAAATGCTCCAGCTCTGAAGGTAATATACGCAGTACTCGCCGGCGGCAGCAGAGGAAAGCATGCACTCCTTTGGAAAGACCGGGTGGAGAAGAGCCTGGCTACACTTGGAATCTCCAGTTGGCGCCAAAGAAGAAGAAGTTCAGGTCACACAGATTTACAAGTGTTCCAGCGCCATAGAGAGAACGCCAGACCTCGGAGATAATTGTAGGCAATTGTTGAAGAAAAAATCTGCAACTATTGTTGTAGTACAGCCTAGAGCATTACGGGTCTGCGTGTTATTGTGCCCGATATGCCCTCTCTTTCCTTCATAGAATGTTTTATTAGTAAAGTCCGGTTAAAATTTCGTATATTATGTTCAGCTTTAATTGTCCTTGACTTTCATACCGTTCTTTGTAAACTTTACTTCTGCGACAGTGTGTCAAGTCTTCTGGTGGTGGCTAGTCTTCCTAATCTAACCCAGGCGGCAGTGGTTCCCACTATACTTCATATACATATGTATGAAGGTAATCTAGTTTGACTACGTACAACAAGGCATTACATATTTGTAGTGTATAGATAATAATACGCATACATACATGCATATGCACATGTTACATACAGTGCCTTTTATTCTGATTCTGCTGTTATTCCACTTGTTTATTAAATTTCTCGTTTTGCTTTTGTAACATCTCCACCACACGATCGTACATCATTCGAGCGCTCTGCGAGCGCCGTTGGTTAGCGTCACAACGGAAACTCGCACTCTCTATCGTATTGACTGGTCCACAGAAAAATATGCGCTCTTCATTTTGCCTTTATACAAGGGGCGTGCTCTCCCACACACATGCATACATACATGAGTGTACATTTTTTTAATACACCAGCGACGACTGATAAAGGTTGTTATTTATAAATCTTTGCCATTTTTTCGTGTTTTTACATATTCATATATGTATATTTGCTCCAGCGCGCACTCTTTTTGCTCGTTTATCGCTGGTGAATGCGGCGGCGGTGGTGTCTTTTCCCAACATTTATGTGTAATACAATGCGCATCAATTCTTCTACTATCCTCTACTTTAATCTACGCTAGTACTTCCAACACCCTTTTGCAGTGTAATAAAAAATTATGCCTCTGTATGTACATATGTATGCCTAGTAGATTTGTATGAAAATCTTTCTTACAACGCGAAAATTTTCCTACAATTCGAAGTTTTTCTTATCTTCTGCCGGCAAGCGATTTTTGAAAATTGAAATGTCTTCTACAAATTAGTGATACCTCTGCGGCCCTGCTTAATGTGGTTATAATTTGAACACGTTGTTATTACTTGCCGTTTCGGCAGTCGATGTCTGCTCTACACTTGCCGCTGATGATTCAACAAGTTGCTATTGTTTGCTGCTCGCGGTGCCTTCATTATTTTGTAATGTGTTTGTGTGTGTACCTCAGTTTATGAGATATTCATCTGCAATTTGCACATGCCCGTTTCATTTCAGCAAGCTCGGAGTTGTCGATATCGGAACACTGAAGCATAGAGCTGCCATAAAAACTGAATGATCTAGGGAAAACTCTTCTATTATTGCCCAAAGCTATGGTCCAATCGAACTGTCTGAAAAACTTGAACAAATCTTAGCTCTATATCGAAATAAAAATTGAGTTTTTGTATGGAATATTTTGTATTAGTGGAACATTATATTATTATAGTTTTTTTTTATAATAGTTTCAGAAGTTTGATGGATGAAGTGTGTGACCATCATTCGAGTAGTTTGATTCATAGAAAAACACTTTGAAGCAATTTCAGAAATCCATTTATTAAAGATTCAACATAACATGCATAGATCATAGGCTGCATCACTTTTTAGAGCAATTAGAGTCGAATGTCAGCAATAATGCGCCGAATAGTATCTTTCAATTCGTCAATTTTCTTGGGCTTATCTGCGCCAATTTACATAACTCCATTAAAAATAGTCTAGTTGGATCCCATCGATTCATTGGACGCGCGATAATGCGCTCACCTAAAGTTTCCTTCAATAAACTGATTGTTTCGTTGGCTTAATGTCATGTGGCGGCTCGTTATTGGAACCAAAGGTGATCTGCAACAATATCCTCCAATTAAGGCACGATTAATGGCTCTATAGCGTTCCTCACACCAAACAGTGCCTTTTGTTTTGATAAATGCGACGACTTTGTTTACGCTTTCAACCAAAAGTGAGCTTCACGCTGAACAAAATGTTCTTTTGGATCCATTCACTTTACCTAGGACATGTTTGGCTTAAATACTAGCATGCGTTAGTTTTTGTAAGCCCGCAAACCAAGATTCTTCTGCAAAGTCTACCATAAAGTGGATGCGTACTGCTTCAATTATTGTGCGCCTTGGCGGATGGTCTCATTCCTGTCTTTTTCGGTACTCTGCTCCCCCAGAGCTATAACGCCTTCGATGCTTACTGTACGCATCTCTGAGAATGCAGGTTATCCACTAGAGTAATCGTGGTACGAAACCGATCCATGCTTGCTCGAATTATCGACTCTGCTAGGCGATTATGTCGATCGAATATTGGACTCAGCTCGCAATGCGTCGCATGAACTGAGACATTATTTCGGTAATAAATTTTCACGGTTTGCAAACGTTGTCTGTTCAGTATCAAATGGCAAACCAAATTGAGTATAAATCTAGTAATAGTTGTTAAAAAGACCAAATCCGAAAAAAAAGAAAACCCACAGTCTAAAAAACACCCATTACATAGATTATATTCATATGATTTGCAACGAGACTGCATTATCATTTATATTGCTATTCAAAGAATGGAAATGTTAACAAAGAGCTTGGGTAGGGTTGATTCTGCTGAATATAAAACGGATTAGGTTACCTGACCGAACTGTCTCTAGGTAGCACCTGACGGTTGAAAGGAACGTAATTGGGATTCTTCCTTAATGGATCAATTTGCGTTATATCCAGGGATGAACTAAAATTTAATTTGGAGGTATAATAGGATATGTTCTGGGCAGTACGTATTTGATCTCGAGTCCAAGGGTATCTATTACATTAGTTCCTGGGCGATGAGTTGGAATTAAACACGTCCATTTCAACGTTTTTTACTAATTTTGTTAAAGGCTGTAGTTCAACTTGGATGTTGGGCTGTTTATTCGAAAAGACTTGAACGTATAAAGTTGTCTTCTTCCCTCTTGTGTGGCTTGTAATACCTGCTTTGGTTAGTTCGTAAGACTCACTATTTATAATTTTTTGTGAACAATTGCTGGCTATTAATTTCAACCTTTAATTAAGGTTCAATGGTTGCGCTCGAGTTTTTTAAAATTCATTGCATTATTAATTGTCCAAAACTCTTTGAGGTCTACTAAAAAGTTGAGCTTTGTGGTCCACTGCAAAGTCGCGCTTGTGGTTAACACTAGTAATCAGCGCTATCCCTCTTTCTCAAAACTCTTTGAGATCTATGGTCAACATTGGCGATCAATGCTTCCTGTGTTCTTTTCAAAATTTTTCTTAAGCGCGTGTCTGTATATTAATGACCTTTACGGAGAAAATCCAATAAAGTTAAAATTCTTCGAATATTTAATTAAATAACGCACTAAGCGCCGATATGTGCGCCATTTATGTACCCACACCACACACACTCGCATACAGAAATGCTCGCATATCGTTCGAGGTTGGCAATAAAAGCAAAACACGAATTCTGTGCGCAACTAACATATTTATCATTTCCCTTCGATCCAATGCCGGAATAACAAGTAGTGCAAATGAAATCGCAAAACAAATACTAACGCATACATACATAGAAACATACTTAGTCTATCAAGAATATAAGGCCGTCTAATAGAGGAGCGACCCACTCATATCTGACTTGTGAATGCCGGCGGCTGCAGGCGGTACTCGCGCGGTGTCGCACAGCCGCTGGAATTCACGAATCGAACTAATGCAATGAACTGTGTGTGTATGTATGTGTGCATGTGGCGAATATGCGCTAAACGAGCGAGGGAGCGC